GGGGGAGGCATCTATAATACTTGCAACAATAAAGATAATTTTTTAAAGGAGAGGTAAAACTAAAGATTAAGAGTGGCCACAGTAGTTTTAATAACTATCAATTACTTTAGTCCCATAATGTTAAATAATATAAAGTCTGGAGGGTCAATTAAATCTTTCCGTTATAATTATTTTGCATAATATTGCATTATGGGAGACATTACATACTATTGTTTTATTCTTAAATATTATAGGAAAGTTGGTGTCAACAGAACCCCTTGAAAATGTAAAAAGTGTACTTACTAAATATAGTAAATATTCTATAGATTATAAAGACAGCAATACACACTGTTGTCCTCTTGCTTATTAGTTTTTATTAATAACTAATTATTTCTCTTTCTCCCAAGGCATACAACCCACTCCTGAACCTATGCTTATTGCCAGAATTACTCTGTGTGTTACAATCCTCAGTAATTAAGGACACTTAGAAGGTGTTGATGACACTTTCTTGCCATAATTAGGTAGCCAGAGTGATGTGCATAAGTGGAAGAGGAAATCAGGGACCTAAGAAGGGTGACAACAGAGAGCAGCTGGAGGCCAGAACCACCTTCCCTCACACAAGAGGTAGAAGGTTCCACAAAGTTCCTGAGATAAGGTGATAACAAACAAGCTCACTTCCTTGTCCAACACCAGAAAGACAGCAGGTTGGTCATCCTGGTCAACATCTATGTTTTAAGATGCTGACATTTCACTAACTTGCCATATGGTTTCCATGAAATCTAGAGCCTCCTACTGCTGTCAACTCAAAACCGCTTCACTTGACCTGCAAACTCCTTTCTTCTACTAAAATCGCTTGCACACATGGCCCACAGGGGTGCTTTCACATAGACAAAGGTAACCCAAGAACCCACCCCAAAACACTGTGATAGACACCCCTATTTATAACATAATAGTAAGAAAATGGGTCTTTCCAGGTACCACCGGGAGAATAAAACAGCTCACTCTAGTCCCTTAGCTATAAAATGGTTATTCTGCTAATATTTCTAATACCTACAATATATTTTAGGCACCTGAAAGAGAAGGTAAAGAACCCGTAAACACTAAGATCACAGAGACAGCAACTTAACGGTCCGTTTTTAACTCTTCTGCCAGCGTTCCCACAGAGTCCACGCCGCCTGGCTCACTCGCGCAGCCTCGCGCGGTGGGTGCGGACAGGGTGGAGAGGGCGAGAGCGGGAAGCCACTGGAAACATAAACACTGAACCGTCCCCGAAGCCTGCGCTTTGTTTTGCCCCTTCGGGTCCCCACTGACTTTCCACTTGTTTCGTTTCAACGGCTGATCCTTCTCCCCATCGGAGATCTAACTGTAAACTCCCCCCGCCTTCCAACCACACCCACAAATACCCGAGGAACCTATCGAATCTGCCTGTGCCTCCAGGCGCCCGCGGGGAGACGGACGCCGGCGCCCAAGTGAACCCGGCGGCACCCGGAGAACTTCTCCCGGGACAGAGGGAGGGGCGGCTGAAGTCAAGAAAAGCGGGCGACGCGCAGCAGGAAAGACGAAGGACTCCTCTCCAGCCCCCGAACGAACAGGCGCCTCGGGGAGAGACAGCGACCCCCGCCCGATCTGAGAAGCCGCCTGAGCCCAGAGCGGACAAACGGCCGGCCCAGGAGATCAGGTCGCTAACGCCGTCTTGCACCCCCTTCCATTTTGCCTGCCATAAAGAATGTCTGTCTCCTCACCCCCTTCAGAGTTCAGCACTCACCCGTCCCCGCTGAAGCGCCAGTTGCTTCTGCGTCAAGTCCTCCCACCTCAGAAAACCATAGAGACGAAGAGGCAGCCGAGACCAGCCTCCATCACCGCCCACCTCCAGGTGACTCCTCTAGCCGCTGGGCCTGTCGGGATAGTGGCGAAATGCGTGTGGGCGGGGCACGGAGGAAAGGGGTGGGGAGGCGAGGGACACGGAAA